GGCATATTTTGGCCATCTTGAATCTTGTACTTCAAAGCCCATGCTGGTTTTCCAGTGAGGTCAATGTACAAGAAAATGCTGTTTATTGCCCAAAATGTGACAAACGTTACAAAAAATGTACCTGGAAATGACAGAAAAACATCAAAAATCTACTCAAAAAAATATTGAGACTTCAGTGAAGGGGGAGGGCATGGAGTGTTGTTGTGAACTAGAATCACTGAATATTATAGAGATTGAAGTATGCAATATTGTAGAATTCAGGCTGTGACAAAACTGCTAGTCAGTATCATTTTGGTTTTCATGTTATAAAAGGATGAACTGCTTGCATGTCAATATCAATTTTGGAGGATAGCAGTAAAGCAGCCTTTAATCGGCAAACTTACCACGAGTAAATAGAGTATATTGGTCTTCACCGACACTAAACAGTATCTTTTTCCAACAACTTTGCCAGAATTCCCCTGAGGCTCCCCAAAGCTTTTCAACATGCCTACCAACAGTATAAATGCACATTTTAAATATTTGCTTTTTTCCGTTTCTTCGATGTTTTATCAAGTAAGCATCAATCATCACTCATTTTTCTTATTCGTTTGTTCATGCACTTGTTCATCTGTTTGGTACATTTATTTGCCCATCCCATACCCTGGTCCCAGAGGTTTTCTTTTCTCTTCTTTTATAGATGTTTTTTATCGTATTTTTGTCTTTGTTTTTTAAATCTTTTTAATTTTTTTCTTGTGTTGTTAAATTTAAAAAACAAAGACAAAAATATGATAAAAAACATCTATAAAAGAAGAGAAAAGAAAACCTCTGGGACCAGGKTACCCATCCCATATCTTTTCAGGTATAAAAATATGCACCCATTATTCATCTTAACTTATAGTCAACTCTTTCAGTCTTACCATTAATTTATGTGCATCTATCAGTTCATTGAAAAAGAAAATAATAAACTTTATTCAAASTTCATTTTGATGTAAACATTAAACATTATAAGAMGAGAATTGATATMAATCATAAATATATACAAACAAATAAATGTTTATCAGTTCATTCAATGCATTTGTCAATAAAAAACTGTTTCCAATCAAGCAATTATATAAATAAATGCATTAATGCAGTTAAGGAATTAATTCATTTTTTTGCTCTAACCAAGTTAAGGTATTTCTTGCAGCAGCAAACACAATAAGTGCTGTTCCAAGAATAAAAGCTGTTTTCTTGATAGACTCAAACAATGGTTTTGCCTGTATGTAGTGGAAAAAATATTTTAGAAACCATAAAAACATGTGAAACATAAATAAACATAAATCTTTTTCTTTCATAATAAATCGATAGCAATGTTTTTACCTTAGCTGTTCTAGAATCTTGTTGTTTTGGTTTTGCCCAGTCTGGTTCAGGTAAGGTGGGRTACTGTGGTTCTACTTCAGTCATGGCTGCAGAAATAAATCTTGAGAACAATACAGAATGAATAATTAGAGTAGATTCATTGTTATTTTTTTGTTTGATTTACAAAATGTGAAACAGGTATAAAATTTGAACTTAATATAAATATCATAAGTATAACAATTTGCTTATTGTCACATTGGTTCAATCTGCTGTAGAAGTAGAGAGTCAGTGCACGCCACAAAAGTTTAAAACAATTGCCTCTTGTACTAATGGTATTCTAGTAAGAAAAAGTGTATAAAGTCTAATTCACTGTAAGACAAAAAAAAATTTTAAATGCAGAGTAAAGAACAATGTCCATTAAATTATATTTCAAGGGTTCAGGGGCGGATCCATGGGAGGTGCTTTGGGTGCAGATGCAMCCCCCCTTTTTGGACGATGTAATTTTTATATATCAGTATTAAACAATTTTYTTCTGCTGTTTATACTCCTGTTGTACTTTTATTGAGAAAACGAGTAGCATTTACAACATGTGTCTGCTACTATGCTGCTTAACAATCTATTAAGTAGTATAGTCAAAGATACGTTGCAATAAAAGTCAATTTGCTTCCAGTCAAATTGTGCATTAATTGTCTTCCTCTAGACTCAATACGCAGCTATAAACACGATCAGTTCCACCTGCTATACTTTAGCTATATATTACTGACAAAAGCACCCCCTTTTAAAATGCTGGATCCGCCCCTTAGGGTTATTGAAGACCATTCTAAGAATTCATTAAGGCACAAATGACTTTTTTATTTTCATTGCACTTCAATTTCATTCTTGGTTTCTGTGACTAGTCTATGCCCCAGTGAATTCTTAGTTATATTGCTCTACTACAAGGAAATGAAAAGTTTTTATTTGCATATACTAATGTGCTTTCGCTGCCTCATATCTCAGACATAAAACATGCTTCATGTCTACGACATTATTGTGAGCCAGCCTTTTTATGTCTGCAGGCAAGTCACTTTAAAACCAAAATTATGAAATCAAACATACCATGTAGAATTKTTTTAAACTTTATGGTTTCAYAATTTTGTGGCATGCACTCTACAAGGAAATGGAAATGCCCTCAGACATAAAACCTTAAATGCTTCATGTCTACAGCATTGTGAGTCAGCCCTTTTATAATGTAGGCAAGTAATTTTGTTTTCTATTTTTATCTCTGTTATTGTATAATACAGTTGAGAAACTCAAAAAAAGATTCTGTTGGTAGGGAATTGTTACCATGCTTTTAGCATCCTTGATGATGTCACAAACACTCGACCTTACCAGGAATCTCAAGAGCAACCCATTAGGATTAAAACTAAGACAATCACTAGAGAATTACTTGGGCTTTAGTTAAGTGTGCAATATACATCCTAGCTTGAGGCAGAGTTTTACATAATTGACAAATTCATTATAAACAAAGCACACTAGGATGCTTTGAAATAAAACACAACCTTCAAGCTCAGTCATGTACCTAGCGAATATGAAATAGTTCTTCCTGCAGTAAGATAGGTGGTACCTAATATAACACATTAAGCTTATATGCTAAATGTCATAACTTTGGCAGCCTTTGTTGGCAAAATTACGAAATTTAACACACCAAAAATTGTTTTGATGCATAATAGGTACCCCTGTTGTTATGCAACAAAACATGTTTCATGGCAATGTTAAATTTTGAAATGCTGCCATCAAAGATTGCAGTTAGTACAATCTTTGATGGAGAAATTACAAAAATTAACAATCACATGAAATATTATTTTGATGGATAATATCCATCCCACTAATTCACTCTAGAAAGAGCTATTTCACATAAGCCGGTCATAGCTTTGCTTTCATTTTCAAAATGTACACATTATTTTTGTTTGTACATAATTACCATTAGCTGGCAAAGAACAGATTGTTTTCATGAGGCATATCATAGATGAATGTTCACAAATGTTGTAACTTCGTGTACGTAGATTAAAATGGGCAGGTATTTGGGTTGGTATTTGGTGAGGAAAGCAGATCAGGAAACGACTTCTGATCCATTCGATCGCATTTAATACTTATTTGAAAAACAAATGTACATTAACTATTTTAGRCGATCAACACAGAACTCATTCCTRTAGAATAACCAACAAGRTCTATTATAAGAGATGGAAAATCTTTGAAGATTTAAGGTAAAACAAACATCGGTCAAATGACGATTTTCAGATTGTCAAAATTCCAATAACAAATTCATCAATTTTACCTCGGATATTATCATTCACAGCTCTTCAACGTTGTCCGGCTATTCCCAATGCAAAGCTTATCCACTAAAAGCCTAAAAAATTCAGCGAAATCAATGAACTCTTAYTGCTTTTCCATCCAACTTATTTACGGCTGTATTGAGAGTTGCGTTTGTTTATAACTAGAGTGACGTCACATTCACATGACCAGAGAARGCAAAGTCCGAACACACAGGGATTCCAAGCACTTGAATGAATTTTATCAGACGTTTTGAATCTTCAAAGTTATAATTCAAAGCTACACTTCATTYTCTTAAGAGTTAGTGTTTTGTTGAATTTTAAAGTATTTGATGCGCAAATACTCATTACCAGTTCTTAWATAGATTAATGCATCCTCGACCCAGACTTTTAAATCTTTTCTTGTACTGCGCGCGCTTATAACTAGCCATGTTGTCGACGTCAGGTTYCTTCGGGAAGTCGTTGTGACGTCATAATGGGATTATGACGTTGCTAACAAGTTTTGCAAAGTTCGCTGAGCTTTTGCGCACTTTGAAAATGAACAGAATCGTCCTCACAACGTTCTGCTTATTTTTCGCTTTTGCAGAGTATTGTGTTATAAATGAACAAGAATGGCTGTTTACTCCACAAACCTDCGGTAAGGATTTCCTTGCAAATCAACAAATTTCGATGATCAGACCATCGAATTCCGGGACACAAATATAGGAAGAGATTTCGTCGAATCGATTTACGTTAACATTGAAGATCAGTTCAGGTTTTACCGGAGACTGCCATGAAATAACTTTACGATATCCAAAAATTAGCTGGTYTAAACGAGTTGATGTTCAGTTCCATTCATACTGATTAATACCTACACTTTCTTAAAAAGCACGCGAAATGCCAAGTGATTTATACCGTATATACAAAAGGCTTTTGTTWTATTTAAAACGAAGGGGAAACTATTAAAAACGAATATTCAGTCCACATGAGCAGGGTCACTAGAGCGCTTTATGTCACTTTCAGTTAGTTTGTAACTAAAACTGTGTATTTGAAGGTAGAAGAATTATATCCGCAAGTCGTGCGTACAATCCAGTGAGAATGCATTCCATATTAGGGCCCATTTAGGGTTTATAATCTCCTTTTTCACTGCAAAAGTAATCGCTAACCCGCCTGCATGGGCTACTTGTCCATTGCTACTCCCAGTCTGTTAAGGTTTCCGTCAGAAACATTCTGCTAAGTACCGGGGTGAAGTAAGACAAAACTGATGATAAACTAAATATTGTCCAAAGACATGACGATATCGATCACCCGGACCAGGGAGCCTTGGGTATAATCTTAGTTCAATAATGCATTATTTCTGGATTTAGGCACAAGGGATCATGGGCCATTGCCGAGTTACATGTCCAGAAGAAGATTCGATGTCGTTACTTTAGGAGAAATAGAAAAGACTGAACTWAAAGATCAAGATACTCCACACGAGATAAAACCAGCATCTGGACAATCTGAGGATGGTAAGAGTCTGTATAGTCAGTACACCTTATCTTACCGGGTCGTAAGATTTTAAAAGCCGTGCGGTTCAAAATCCTACTGACAAGTCATCTGAGGTTGCGTACGACTGTTGTCGGCAAGTCGTAGGGGCATTTACACGGCGCGATTTGGAGCCCATTTGAGTCGCACTCGACAATCGTTCCGTGTAAATCGGCCTTAAAAGATCCCGGAACACTTGAAAAAAGGGCGTGGCTGATATTTTAACCCGTAATTAAGACATTGCACAACAAATATTGTTAAATTAGCTCAGTCCCAATGATAAAAACGCAATTGATGCGTTTATTCAGTGTCACAATGCATTATAAATGGGGTTTAAAAAATTTCCCCTCGCGCGACAATCCCACTGCAAAAATCGTGTAAACGGGTCTTAAGTCTTCCAAATACTGCAACAACCAGCTCAGCTGGAATCTCGATATTTCAATATTGCAGAACAAGTTACATGGACATTGGACTTACATGAGCTTTATCGAAAGGAYCCCATCACTTGTATCAAGACTGTGGTTGCTTACATGATTATAGTGGCACTTGAACTAGCTGTCATTGGATATTTCTTTGTTTATCCCATATTTTCGGATAGGTAAGAAGCAAATATCGTACCCGGAGCCTTCGTTTTCTTGTGCATAAAGAGTCTGATAGAATTATATGTTTGTCGACGGCGTTGGCCAAGAGAAACGAAGCCGCGGGGTTCGAGATTGAKTAAGAATCTGCATTGTGGTCTAGCTTGGGTAGGCCCTTGGCCGTGATAGCTGCTGATTAATTTGGGTATTCTGCTTGGATACACTTTATAATAGATACAAGTAATAATACATTATGGTCTACCTTGGGTATTGATATGTTTATGGAAGATCATCACGGGTATAGACTGGGAAGTGATCATTGGGTAATTCTTTGGGTATCCTCTGTACTACTTGTACTTAGCCTCGGATAACTGCAGATTARAAGGTATTAACGGTCTGCCTGGKGCAAGGCTTAAGGGTTTTGTGGCCATCCTTCCATGTTTAAAAGTCTTAGTACTTTTTTATTGGTCAGATGCAAGCATTAAGTTTATTTGCATTTCCAATTTGGCAATGCTTATAAAAAGATCAATGTCTCCACGAAGGGGGATTCCCTCGCGGACGGAGCACCATCGGGCAACTCAAACTGATCMTGAAGACGGATAGAATATATAGGTCTCGCTAACTAAACCCCCATTTACTCTCTGTTTCCTAGAATCAAGGGTACAAAATCTTGCAAGGAAAAAAMCAAATTGACYGCTAAAACACAAAAACGACGAAAAGCAGCTCGAAGACGGAGAACCGGAAGAAACTGAATAAAATRATAATTAATACAGTTCATAAATAATATATAATATCTACTCATACAAAATAAATGATATTATTTAAATGTACTTTACAAATTTTAAATAAAATATAATATGTTTCTACAACTTTTTAGAGTTTGGGATATATACCACTTAATGCTTTTCGTCAAAACGCAGATTTTATCGTGTGTATCTTAATTCAAATGTTATTAAATATTTATTTATAAGATATATGAACGTCATTTGGTCAATAACTTTTGAAGTTCTTCGACTTCCTCTTTGTAAAGGTGCATTTTACTTGAGCTCTTCTTAAAGAAMATGACCAGCATTGGTGCAATGGATTGTGGGATATCATTGYGYTCAGCAGCATGCCTCAGTAGTTTCAATCCGTCCCCAACATTCTCTATAAGTTGGACAGGAAACTCGCTTTTGATCAAACCAAAATAAACTAAAACTGATGAGCCCTGTTCCATTGGTGTAAAAGTTGTATTCACAGTAAGCGATTCCTCAACCAAGGCTTCGCTGCAACGTAATGCTGTTTCCCAGAAGTCTCCTTGAGCGAGAACATCACAAATGCGCTTCAAGCCTTTGCCAAGGGACATAGTAGGCTGTAGAATTTCTTTCAGCATTGCAGCTTTCAGGGCTTGCTTACGAGGTAGGTTTACTTYACGAAAAMGTGGGCTCGGCTTKRCCAAAAAAGACGAAAACAAACCCGCAAGGCATGCTGGAAAGTATTCTTGATAGAAAACGTGTTCTAATGCCAACAATGCGCCTTTYAGTTGTCTACAARTATTGACTTCAAACTCACTCTTCAACAGCCCCATGCGAACTAGGATRCAAGAGCTTACAGCCATCTTATTYAWAYGTCGACATGTAAAAGCTGYACTCAGGATAACATCAACGCATCTGCAAAGTAATGCAACATCTTCAACTAGAGCATCAGAAAGAAGGATAAATACTTCTGCAACTTTATCTTCGTCCCAAATCTCATCATTAACTGCCTTGTGTAWCACAGCCTCCACAAACTCCGGTCTTAAAACGATGACAGGAATTACASATTCAATTGAATTCATGAAGAATTCAAGAAAGCACATTGCAAAAAGACCAGAAGTCTTCTTATGCTGTAAAATATAATCAAACGCGAGCAAAAYGATCTCAAGATTTTCTGAAGTGGTRTGTTTRTATGTCCTTGAATATCCTATTAGTTCACTCCGAGTAAAAATTCTGTGTACCAAAGTTTTATAGGTTGATGCAGRTTGAAGACTGTTGCAAAATTTCTCCAGCAYTTCGTATGCGTTWTCTTGCTGTATGGGCATCAATTTRATAGCTCTGRAGAATTGATCTACGAGGTCTTCACTGATGAGTCGTTGTCCGTTTASACCATGGGAAGTCTTGCTATGGTTGCAAGATTTCCCGTTTAAAGTCAACTTCAAACCTTGCAAAAGCTGACCAATAATATCACTCGASTGAGTTCTCGCATCGTGACAGCGATTGAAATTAACGTGTTTTGTGRACACTTTGTTTAGTTTATGACGCCAAAGTACRTCTCCGGCCATCCACAAAACAYGTAATGGCATTATACTTGTATCAAAAAATTGTAATTCATGTTTGAGCTCACATACTTCTCTCTTTTTAATCTCCAAGTCGGACGACCAATCGTTTTGTGATTCTGTTGATCCACAAATGCTACAAATCACAATATTCAATTCTTTCAAGCTCTTCCAGTGCTTCCTATAAGCACAATTTTCGCAATAAAGGTGATCGGCTTCTTTTATGGCGAGACAAGAACATATATTATCAGAAGTATAAATACCATTTGGCTTTCGCTTGGGCAATAAAGTACTAAGGTCCACAATGCATCTTGAGGAAGCCTCAAAACCATTTTGGTACAAGATATTCAGCTCCAAATTAACATTTTCTTCATTGTTTTTGTCATCTTCATTATTTGCATTGTCCAAGACTTCAGGCGACAAAACGACAGTGAGATCACTTGTACCATTCCCTTGCGCCGTGTYATTCCGTGAAAAGAACTGCGTGTTATCTGTCTTCATTGAGGTGTCTTCATCCAAAAAATATTCTTTAGCTATTTGGCTGACGACCTCTTTACCTTCACAGTCTCGTTTTGCATGATGAAAAGTCGTTAAGTCTTCTTGATCATGTAAATGCCACTGTTCYTTGGTGTCGTTTAATGAGGACGTTAAGTCTTCAGGCGATGCTGTATCTAAATCCACTTTTATTTTCTGAAAAAAAGATATTAACATTTCTAACTTTATCTTCAAAAAACTTTACTAAACCACTACATTATGACGTATTGCATATTATGACATCATGTTAAAGCAGAAGTAATCCATACCTCCTCTTGTCTTTTCCTATTGCTGTTAGGSAMAGGCGTCGTCTCGAACTTAACGTTTTTTAAGTTACCATTTTCATCTTCCTGCGTTTCAAAAACTCTCTTCTTGRCAATGTAATACATTAAAACCTGGACGCAATCATCATGGCCATTTGCCTTTGCAATGTCAACCGCTTTCTTTCCGAATTTATCCTTGATTTCACGATCACAACCAAAGTCAAGCAAGATTTCTATGTACTCCTGGTTTCCTGATTTGGCTGCGACATGAAGTGCTGTCCGCCCAACCTTGTTCCTGATGTTTATATTGGGAATAGACGAAGCAAGTAGACAAAGCAAGTAGTGATTGTCTTCTAGATCTACAACTATATGTAAAGAAGACATCCCTTCCTGAAAAAAGCAAATGTTTAATTGTTAACATGAATGAATAAATCAACAAGTACTTAACCAAGAAGCCTAAAATGACTTCCATGTCRGCTTTCAGCCTTCCTAAACGCTTTTTGGCTAGAAAGTAAGAACATATAAAGGTAGTTTTCAACATGGATCACTTAAAAGGATAGTTTTAAGATTGAWTGAGTTTTAAGATTGATTGTKACGTAATTAATKACGCGCGCGAGCGTRATTGTTGCCATGGAACTCCGTGSATAYTTCCCACMAATCCCCGCGGCGAGCACATTCTATTTCATGCAYGTTTTGTGCGTTCCATGCTCGCGCGGCCCAGATTTGTATGAGCATCAAGAGATGTCCATCATATGTAACAAATTTGAAGTTATCAATGACAATAGTCCCCTTCACAGAATCMCCAGGAAGTCCGACAAAAGGGAAAGCTGCGAAGGAGACTACACTGACAAAAGCAGTGTGTCAATCCACATATTTCTCGCTCTTCCTGGTACCTTAGTAGGTTTTTCAATATCACAGCCAGCTTTTATCAAACGATGCACGCCAATATTGGACTTCTGCAAAGTTGCGACATGAAGTGCAGTAAAACCATTCTCGTCTCTCTGATCTAACCGCTCGCAACCAGATCCTAACAGAAAATCCAGGTATTCTACATCATTGGATATCACTGCACCGTGTAGTGGAGAGTACCCATAATCACTACTTTGACTCGCGCTGTCACTTATGTCCGAGGTACTACCAGTTGGAGTCTGGAGACGAGAACAACTCAGTGGCGACAGTGTAGCCATGGAGAGGATTTCCCGCGCTTTTTGTAGGGCTGATTTCAAGTTGGCAGCGCTTCTGTGAATCTGCGGAGAGTTTCTTACTTTGACATCCTGGGATAAAAACAAAGGCACATTATTGGAAGATCATCTCAAACAAAGTTCAAATTCTAAGTTTGATTTTTGGAACTTTGACAGCCGGCATGATTATAGTAGTTCGATCGGTATGGCCATCAACTAAACTCAAATAACAGCAAAATAAGGTAGATCGACTCACAGTACGATTGCGTTTGGTGAAAAGAGAATAAATAAAAGAAAGGATTAAAGGCAGCTGCCTTGCTTTATAACCTTTCTACTGAAATTTCTATTTTAAAATTAATGTGTTATAAATGGCGCTTGGCAAATTTTTGAAGTGTTTTAGTTATTGCGAGTACACTTATYAAGAACTCATGTGATATAACAATGAATATAACGTACAAATTAGATCAGAGTGACACGTGCATTTGTACTCGAGTACTTGGTACATTGSAAGTATTCTAGCCAAGGTTCTACATCTGGAAGATTAAGTCTTTTTAATCGAGGTTAATCGTCCAGATGCTCGCTACGTGGAACATTTCCTGAGACTCGGGGGAACTCAGTCACAATATCATTTTCACCCTCATTTCGCGCGCCTTGACACGCATCGTCCAATGAACATATACATGACAAACGTACACGCAGTTGAGTCTGTGTTGTCGTGAGAGGTTAATATGATTTTTACATTAAAACGCTTCTCAATAGTGATTAAGGTAAGTCATGTCCAATTGCAATGACACTACAAAACATCAAAATTCAACAGCAATGTCACATCTGTAAGTGAGATTCGTTTACATACCATTGATAAACTAATGCCACGCTATCAACATTTCATATAAATACTGTGAGGTCGAGTGAGAACAAGGTATAGAACTACGAACTAGGCATCACTTGTGTGGCCAGACTTATGAACAGTTTTACATAAGGTCATCATCACAAAATTTCGACTTSATTCCCGAGTAGTGCTTCCCAATGCAAGCAAATTTCATGTTTGKCGAAGTGTTCCCGAGTACTGACAATCTACACGTAATGCCAAACTAATACCTGAGAGATTGGATATCAGAAACTCTTCCGGTATTTRAGAAATGCAGCTACTCAAGATTCGCCACGCATAATAGTCAGATAAGACCCAGAAGTTAGTCAAAACTTCAAGAWAGGTCATCAAACGCGCGACTCTTTAGTTTACCTTGTTTGAATGGAGTCAATACGTTGGCAAAAGCTTGACCTTTGGAAGCCTTAAGTCRCTATTACTATTTACTATGTGGAAAGAGTCCTTGGACTTATAACTTCCAGAGAGAATACTCAGAATCTGCAGAATACTTATGCTTGTAGCCTACGTCTACGACTGATATCTGTTTGTTACATTGTTGGTTGTTGACGTTGGAATTTTATACTTGCATTGTGATGGAATGAATGATTGTTACATTGTTATGTTGTTGACATTTCTTTTAGAGCCTCACTGTCCAGAATAATTGACTGACCGGTTCTATTCGCCAAATGGAAAATGGCCGGACGGCCGKACCTGAGTCACAGGAAAAAAGCATAGGCACTCAGCAAGGATTGTCGCAATGTCAACAGACAAAAAAATACGCCCTCCAATGCATGCACAAGTTAAAAGAAGTTAAGCAACTTGGCTAAGAAACATGATGATTGATCATTTGTAATATTTTGTTGTTTTGAAATAAATTATCCGTACAGTCATGACGCAAATGATAGCTGTACTAACATTTCTGAAACTATATTTTTGTATATAGGGGATGCGGCAAACAGTTCTGTTTAATGGTTTAAACACAGCGAAGTTTTTCGGGAGTTACATTGGAGTTACTTTACTAAAGTTTCGAATAGTTTATCGCGTGAGTGCGATATACTGAACTCCAACAGGAGGGATCAATGACTACAAATGCAATAACCGTGCAGATTACTGAGAAACATGCAAGCACTAGTGGAAAACTGAACAGACTTTGAAGCTGGGTTACAAGTGATCTCAAGCAGTTTTGAAAAGTAATTTCGCTGACTTTACGTTGCAAATGCACTCACCATGTTTTCTGTACTTTGACTGAAGCTGCGACAAACYAGAACTAAGTTTCAGCMGTTGAAATTTGATGTTTTAAATCTTCTAACATGGTTCTAAKCGAAGACAYKATAGTTGTAACACTTGTCTATGAAATGTTTGGCTAATTTACACGATCGCATTGTGAACGCCGCCATATTTTTACCACAAGTTTTTTCGTG